TAGCTACTGAAACTTTCGGCATGATCTTGACCTGCATGCGATGGATTGCAAAAAAAAACTGGTGGGTATGGTATTGTGTGTAGTTCAGAGAACATGGATCAGTTGTATCACATTATTAGTACAATTTGCACGCTCAGTTGGCTAGCACTAATATGTAGTCGGTAGCGCTAATATGTAGTCTGTATGTAAGGCGCTCTTCTTAAGTGCGTTGATTCATTCTATCCAAGTTCGTGGAACATAACAACCACCATATCAATCAACCATACGTACAGTTGCAGCGGCGAATGGCGGCAGACCAAGGCAAATTGTAAAACATCAGTTGCTTGGCTTCTGTCTGACAAGTCTGTAACCAACACCAGACCTGCACATGGCAGGTATTGAGTTTTCAAGTTCATAGCAGGAAGTGCTTGTTTTTAACCATAGTACTCTGTTTTTCCCTCAATACCTATAAATATCCTAGATTATTCTCAACCACTCCATCAGAGCCAACTGTAACTGCGTTCCATTTTGTATTTTGCTCACCATTTTTTGTCGACCGTCCACCATGATTTTGGGCGTTCTTTTTACCATCTTGGAAGGTGTCCCGAGTTCCCGAGCAAACATTTGGCCCATAGATCACGCATTTAGTGCCGGTTCAAAGCCATCAAAAATTCCTTTTCGCCAAATGTCACCTAATTCTGATTTTTGCTACCTATGCCCCATGTCAGTTTGCTTCTTCGGAGAAAATAACAAATAACGAGTGAGGCATAGAAGCATGCTATCTGTAAGCTGGGAAGGACGTATGAAAAGCAAATCGAGGGCAATAACTAAGTGAGGCTAGAGATGGCTGGTGCTAGTCTAGGACCTAGTTGTCACCTTCACATGTCTCTGACGCATCAGCTGTGAGAGCAGAGGACCTGGTAGTTTTAGTTTTGACAGCCATATTGTGCCTGTTCAGGTTGAGACCCAAGTACATGCGAACCTTCCCAGCAGGTTCCGTGGATGTCGTTCATAAAAGTAAGCGTGAAGAAATTCATTCTCCAGTTAAGGAATTTGAGGAAAGAGTTACGATTGAAGTTAGTAATGTTTGATCCCAGGGGATCGCAAGTTGTACAGTCCAGACACAAAGGGTCAACCCTCATCTCATTGGAAAGCTACCTATCTGCTCTCTCTGAATATTGCAACTAGATATGCAGCAAGAGCCACAGAGTTGCCTTTGAGCAATCTGAGAGCTGCCCTTTTGCGATTCCTTGTCCAGAGCAGGATTCTGTACCCACTCCAACAAACGTCATCGGTAATTAAGTTCTTATTCAAAGTTCTGCAGAATCTTGCAGCTCAAGCGATTATGTTGTTGTCCACTTTGCAAGCCCCGCAAATCGATGAGTCCCAGGTAACGTTCCCTTTTGAGGCAGGCGGACCACTTTGATATGCTCTGCGCACTAAATGTTCAAAGCAACTTCAAGCGATCTTCGGTTCGGTCCGCAATACTCGGTGATTCCGCCTTATGAAACAATACTTAACTGGAACGTTTATTCTCTTGCCCATATACGCGGAGTCAGTAAACCATGGTGAGAGGATTTGATGCATATGTGTATTCAAACAGTTGAAGACAAATGGTGAATGGTGGTAGACCAAAGCAAACGGTGATTGGTGAATGGTGGTGGACCAGAGCAAACGGTGATTGGTGGCAGACGAAGCTAAAAGTATGGCCCTTATGCTACTTGTTCACCTCTAGCTACCACCAACTGCTTTGTGCTGAAGGACAGGAAGGCTTTGGCAAATAACCTGAGCCATTGTCACCACCTGTGCCCTTGCCACCATCGAAAGTGCACTGACACTTACACTCCCTCGGAAATTGTCACTCTCATTTTGTCAGTTTGTTGTCAATAGACACCCTTAGCAAAAAACGTTATGTTGTAACGGTATTATCGTAAGGGGGAAAATACCGTGATTTGGGTTCGACCTTTAGCAAGAGGAACGCTATTTTTAGTACGCTTTTGCCACGAGAATAGCTTTGATTTCGGGCGGGTACAACCATTTTTGTCACCATATACGCGATACAAGGTGAAATGCGTACGGACTATGCAATATGCAATATTTTGGTCACAACGATAAATCACCCCCATAGCGTTTTTACGCTGCAGCTTCAACGCTATTTGGGTGATCAAGGTACGAGTACCGTAAAAATAGCGTTACCGTTGTTTGCTAGGGGTGTCTAATGTTTCACTTTTTCCCCTTTTGCGTTCTCTCTGCTTTTTTTTAATGTTGTCCGCATGCTACATTTGAGTGCTAATTCTCACTGTTTTATATTTGATATTCACTGGTTTGAGGGAAAGACACAAACGGTAAAAGTCTGAAGAAGAAAAATTGACTGTCGCCACCAGGACTCGAACCAGGGACCCTCGCTTGTAGCCAGCGATGCTCTTACTACTGAGCTATGGTGTCGTCTTCATCCCAGCAGAGGCCGTTCAACATTTTCTTCAGACTTCGAAACTCACACTTCCTGTGAACCAACACAGGCGGGTGGGAAGCAGCCCTCACTGTAACTCGTGTTTTGTATTTGGTATTGTTCACCCTCCTGCACATAGTCTGGTGTATTTGGTATTCGTTGTGAACCCTCTGGTTCTCTTAAGTGTCAGGAACGAACAACCCCACACGGCACGAGGACAACTCTTTTCCTTTACACAGTATATTTCACTTCATCGAATAATTAACAATGAACAATGCATGAATGAATGAATGAAACAATGAATAACTAACACTAAAACCACCAGGTAGTTATAGCGTGAAAATGACAGCGTATATGAGAAAAGCATACGCATACAACATACAACTACAGCGCACACAGCAAACCGCACATAGCACCTGTAGCGTATACCACGTCGTAAACATCAGCAGTATGGCGGAGTCGGGATACAGCTGCATTGAAACGAACACAATGTCACAAGCGAGAAGGCATTTCACTCTCGAGAACTTGTTGTTTCACAACATTTTCCCCACCAAAGGGCTTCTCACCGCCGTACAACAACTCACAAGTCAAACGATTTGGGGCTTACTACGCGTCATCTGCTGCTGCGGTGGTGGCCATGGTAGAATATCACTAATGCCCACCACTTCAGCCAACTCGATTTTGCGAAGCTTGCCGCTGTGGGCTGTTGCTCAGGACACTGTCACCGATCCACTTTGATATGGGGCGGATGCTGGACCAGACAACACACAACCGATAATATCACCAAGCTTGCCGATCTGGGCTGTCACACACGACACGGTCACCGGTACACTGCTTCGACCCGGGGCGGGCGCGGAACCCGAGAACACACATCCGATCTCTGTGTTCCACACAGTCTCGCCGTTGACCTCTTCCGTGCTAACCAGTATCGCCCTTCTCGTTTCCTTATCTTCTACGCCTTGCGCCTCTACGTCTTGTGCCTCTAACTCTTGCGCCTCTACGTCTTGCGCCTCTACGTCTTGCGCCTCTACGTCTTGCGCCTCTACGTCTTGCGCCTCTACGTCTTGCGCCTCTACGTCTTGCGCCTCTACGTCTTGCGCCTCTACGTCTTGCGCCTCTACGTCTTGCGCCTCTACGTCTTGCGCCTCTACGTCTTGCGCCTCTACGTCTGGCGCCTCTACGTCTTGCGCCTCTACGTCTTGCGCCTCTACGTCTTGCGCCTCTACGTCTTGCGCCTCTACGTCTTGCGCCTCTACGTCTTGCGAAGTCGTTCGGCCGAGACTCCAGCTGCTTCTGAGCCTCTCCGACCGATGTCGCCATGCACTGTACCGACGCAGTGGGCCTTGGATCCGATCCTCCCACTGGCTTCAAATGCTCTTCTGACCGCTGCTTGTCTGTAAGCAAAGTCTTACACGCCTTGTCCGGCGTCCTTCTGGGCAAGCAAATTTCGCTTTGCTTCCTCATAATATGTACTAACGGCAATGCGCTCGTCCTTCTTCTTGAGCTTTTCATTAAACTCTGTGCGGAGCGCACCCTCTTGCCATCTAACACTGCGCTCTTCAAACCCCTCGCTCTGTCGGAGCCTCTTCTCCACGTATTCTCTCAACCTATCGCCTTTAAATCCATACCGAATTCCGTTAGCGATAAAGCTGGCTTCAATGATCCATAGTTCCTGTGCCATGCTCGCTTCGTATCCTGGCGTGGTCGCCAAATGTTGTAAACCCTCTGGTTCTCTAAAGTGTCAGGAACGAACAACCCCACACGGCACGAGGACAACTCTTTTCCTTTACACAGTATATTTCACTTCATCGAATAATTAACAATGAACAATGAATGAATGAAGCAATGAATAACTAACACTAAAACCACCAGGTAGTTATAGCGTGAAAATGACAGCGTATATGAGAAAAGCATGCGCATACAACATACAACTACGGCGCACACAGCAAACCGCGCATAGCGCCTGTAGCGTATACCACGTCGTAAACATCAGCGGTACGGCGGAGTCGGGATACAGCTGCATTGAAACGAACTAGGGGTCAAACGGGTGTACCTTCAACTAACGAACGAGTAATTTTCTTTAACGGGTGGGTTAACGGGTACCCTTTAGCAGCCATGTTTAATTTTTGAGCAATTTTCACATAAATCAATATTTTTATTAGTGGTGAAACGAATACCAGAATGTACTATTCGAATATTCTAAACTGTAACGAACGAACGAACGAATATTCTATTACTCCAATGGACATGCAGCACATAAAATTGCCTGTGATAAAATGAGGATTTATAAAACAACCGTGACTCAATATTGTTCATAAATTATAGTAATATATTATTTCAAAATAATTTCAATAAGTTATAGAAAAATGCAATTCTCCTGGAGCTTCAAACTTACTGATTGCTTGAACAATTTTCAATGGCAACAAAGTCTGGAAAATCAATCAAGGAAAATGAATGCCAAGAATACTACACAAGACAGAGAGAGAGAGACGCACGCACACGCACACACACACAGAAAGAGATATATGAGTATAGAGACTCATTAGAGAGAGATAATCTCTTGGTGATCAAGTTACAGAGACGGCAGCTGCAGAGGGAGCTCATCGTCCAGCACAACATCCAGAGCAACAGGAGCTTCCTCGGTCACGGGCGCACGGAACTCAGGCGGGACAGCATGGCTGGTGTGCACCTTCAGCGACTTGTTCTGCTGGAGGAAGATCAGGGCGTCTACGCTCTCTTCCGAGAGACCAGCACGACGCTTGCTGACGATGTGGCCGGCAGCCGAGAACACTCTCTCGGAAGGAACGGAAGTTGCCGGCACACACAAAATAGCCTTGGCGACCTTCGCAAGGTGTGGCAGCCGGTCCTCATTGACACACCACCACTTCAGTGGATTAGTAGCTGGAGGTGCGGTTGTTTCGCTGAAATACACCTCCAGCTCCCTCTCCACTCCAGCACTGTACGAGACCTCCTCCACTGTGGCAGCTCCGAAGAACAAATCCAAATCCTGAGGAGTACGCTTTGGTGCTGGTTCGGCTGCTGTTGCCGCCTCCTGGCCGTCAGCTATGCAGCGTTGCAGAAGCTCCAGCTTTACTGCTTTCCGGCCCGCATCGTCCAGGAATGCCAAGGAGCGCGAGCGTGGGTCTAGCGCTGCTGCCGACACGTGCATCCTGGACAAGTCTACAGGGTCCAGGTGAAACTTGTTTGCAAGCTCAGAAGCAAGCTTGTGACACAGCTGAGCGATCGCAGCTTCACCATTGGCTGCCGCCTTGCCCGCATCTGCTAGCGCCATGGTGTGCAGAGACATGACGACTGGCATCACACATGAGATAGTCAGATATTTCTGACCACTCAGAAGGCGCGTCGCTTTTTCCGAAGGAGCTAAGACCTCCATGAGTTGCTCAGCAGTAGCCCAACGCTTCTCTTTCAAGAGCAATGCCCTATGGTCAGCCTTGGGCGTCTTGGCAGTGTCCACCAGAACAGAGGTCACGTGAGGCCTTAGCTCCAGCAAGCGTCGCAACATATAATACATGCTGTTCCACCCGGTTGTGACGTCCTGCATCAGGCGGAGTGGCTGCTGGAGGGTAAGCTTGTTCTCCTTAGCATGGCTCACTTGCTGGGCGTTTAGCTGAGCAGTTGCGTGGGAGCTGTGGTGGAAATGCCCCACAAGACGTCGACCCTCAGCTAGAAGCTTCTGCACTGGCTTGCTGCTGTCCAGCGCATGGCGCAAGCACGTCTGCAGCATGTGTGCAGCACACACAACACCCTGGACATCACTATCACTATCAGCTTGAAGCAGTGTGCTGGCAGCAACCATGTTCCGAGCCTCGTCGTGCACAATGGCCACTACCTTCTCACTTATGCCGAACTCCTCAACAATTTCTTTCAACTGTGCAGCGATGTTTACTGCTGTGTGCCTGTCGTCCAAAGGCCGCGTCGCTAACACAACACTCTGTAAGTCCCAGTTGTCGTCGAGGAAATGGGCGGTGAACGTCGAGTACGACCGGACTGCTTTTGATGTCCAGCCATCGGTCGTCACTGCCACACGACGAGCAGACTTCATCATGGCCTTCACTTCCTCCTTGCCATCGGAGTGTTTGCGCTTGACGACGGAGGCAATATGAGTTCGACTGGGGACGTTGAAGCTGGGCTCCATGAAACGAAGCAACCGCTTGAGCCCGTCGTCGTTTACAATGTTCAAAGGACGCATGTCCGTGGTGATCCAATCCACAAGCAGCTGCGTCAAGGCTTCAGCATCCGCCCCACTGCAAGGTTTGGTGGCTCTAGCTCGAGAAAGAACAAACTTGTCTATCGCACCAGATTTCTGAACTTTGGAAGCGGGTTCATTGGAAGCGACAACGGACGGATGTGCCGACTTCAAGTGAGCAAGCAAATTACTCGTAGTCCCTCCGTTGTATATGAAACTTTTTTTGCACAACTTGCAGCTGGCCTCTGGCTTATCTCCACTTTTCTCAAAGTGATCCCATACTTTGGAGCGGGAGGCTCGACTAAACACAACTTTCGACATGATGAAAACTCTCCGCGACCGACGGCTGACAAAACACAACTACTTCTTTGCACAAGCAAGAGCTGACCACGGAAGTGCAGAGCGACAAGCGGTCTTTTTGTACACGTTCAGTTCACCGCGCGAGTATGATGGAGTGCTAGTACAGAGAGTACAGTATCAGTAGTGACACGCGCGCGGCTCTTCAACGGCATCTGATCCGTACAAGGTGAGCGTGTGCACTGTACAGACTCAGTACAGTAGTGTGTGCAACAGTAGTAACTGTAGCGAACCACGGCCACATAGATCTACATGAGCGGTTCGCGTACGCTACAGTTCAGAGTGCAATCATTGTGTACGTGAAAATGCATCTGCAGGCCTCACTTGACTCCGTTTAGCACGAAACACCGTACACTCGAGTTCGAAACGAATATTCGTTCGCGTTGGCATTTCGAACGAATATTCGAATATTCGGATATTCGTTTCACCACTAATTTTAATTCATCTGTTCTTGGTTTGCATTTTGATGTCACATTGTGTTTCGCAAATGGATTGGTGTCTTATAGTCGCAGGAGTACATCTACTAGGTGCGAAAATGCAACAGCAATGCAGACATCCAGCGTGGAGTTGTAAATTATTGACTCTCGCCTGGAATACACGATCCCAGCAGTGTTGCTCCGTACTGACTGGTTCATCAAAATCCAAACGGGTACCCTTTTACTAACGGTACCTGAGATTAACGGTCGGGTACCCGGGTACCCGGTACACCCCTTTGACCCCTAAAACGAACACAATGTACCAAGCGAGAAGGCCATTCACTCTCGAGAACTTGTTGTTTCACAACAGTATTGTTCACCCTCCTGCACATAGTCTGGTGTTTTATTTTTATTCAATTTTTTAATTGCAGTGTATCCAAGCGATGATTGTCGCAATAAAACATGAGTGGAAAACTATTCCCGCCTCGTTCACTACTGTGTGTAAATAGTTATCATCAGACCTGCTCTGATATTTCTGTATTTTTTTGTTGTTATAATTATGTTTTCAGGCCGTTGTTAGGTTTAAAACTGACAGCGCTCAGAGAGTCTGCTTTTCAGGGTTCTAGACAACTAGAACACATGTAAGTAATTTTTGTTACTTACTGTATAAGAATGGGTTTGCTCCCCATACTGGAGCTCGCGCTATTCCGCCGACTTGACTTGACACTTGACTGACTCACGACTGCAATCAAGAGCACACAAGAAGTCCATCGAACCTTCGACTCGGCAAACCTGCAAGAAAGCACCACTCCCTGCTCAATACACAGTTTTTTGGGGAATTCACCCCTCATTAGTTGAGCTTGAGTAGCCGCTGGGGAAGATTGTGCCTGAAGAGCACCACTTATATAGTGCTCTCCAGGCACAACCATCACCAGGGATACAAACTTACAGAGACGCTCCGTTTGCAGCGCAACAAACACCTCGTGAACACCAGATAGCAGCGTGAACCTTGTTGACCGAGCCAAGCGCATTTGCTCCCCTAGTAAACTTGCGGATCAGCTTGAATTTCTCCGCTCGGTGTTTACTAAGAATGGCTACCTGGACCATATTTTGCACAAGTATTTGTCAACAACTCCAACAACTAAAAAAATAACGATCGGACCTACTCGATGTCAGGTATTTTTTATGTTTACCATGGAAGGGAAAGGAGCCTATCAACGGGTACCGCGAAGTTCGTTGAGTTGTAAAACAACCCTACTATGCAGTGCACTTTACACCCGTCTACACAACGCAGGCCCGTCGCACCGACTTTGGAGGTGAGGTGGCCATCGAAGGGGGTCCGGGGGTACTCCCCGTGAAAATTTTCAAAAATTGAAGTGAAAAATGCCACATGATTTGACGAACCTCACGCCGGACAAAACCGGAAAAGCAGGGCTGGGCCCTCTCTCCGATTTCGCTCAAATTTGAAAGTAGGTTTCCTTTGGGGTCTACGAGTTCGACAATCATGAGAAAGGGCTCGTTGCACAACTTACGAACACCTTGGAACTGGGGACCACCTCGAAATGGGCCTAAAATACGACTGAATATTGGGTCGAAAAACGTGCGCTGCTACAACGTACATGTTGGAGCTCAGAACAAATCTCCACCATGCCACCATTCCCTCACCTAAGGAGTCTTCACATCACCATTAAAAAGAGCCATGGCTACATCCAGGAAAGCAATGGCCGCCATCTCCAACTATCACCAAATTGCATCGATAAAAGAGCCAAATAGCGGGAACCATTTATATCGTCCATATTTTTCTGCACCATGCACTGAAAGATAGTGGACTATCTCCACTACCACCCAGGACATGTCTTGTTCCACGTTTTCTGGAAATTAAAAAAATATGATTTTTTTCACTTCACCACATTGCAACTTTGCAAATTTCGTACCCGACATCGCTTTCATAATAATGGGCAAAACTGCCCGTTTGACATGCGATGTGAAATAAATAAACAACAACGACGACGAAAAGCGCCTCGTCAAGCTCAAACACCAGGCACCACTCCAGATGCCAGCACACCAAACACTGCAGCGTGGTCACCTCTACCTATTCTGACAATAAATTTGAACAGACAACCCTTGTCACTCCAAACAACAACGATTTCCTTCCCTGAACGACTCGAATTTCACTAGCAGCAAAATTCTGCAGAAGTGGAAAATGTTAGCGAACAAATCCCGATTTGTGCGATCAAAGCACCCTATTTTGGCGTCCTGAAACTGGCGGTGCGCCGAGCACCGCGTGACATAACAGATTGACGGGTTTGATCGAGTTGTTGATCCACAATCAAGATCAGAATCAAAATCTGAACGATCAGGTTGTTTTCATGTGTTCGAGATTGTCTTGCCAGGTTCTGTTAAAGATCAGGACGTCGTCTAGAAACACCATCATGAACTTGCGAAAACAGGGTCGGAATATGTCATTCATCACGGCCTGGAAGACTGCAGGAGCGTTTTTTAAACCAAATCATATTACACGGAAATTGAAATGACCAAGTGTGGTGTTTATCGCCGTCTTTGGTACGTCTTCTTCACGGATTCTGATTTGATTGTATTCCGCGCGCAAGTCAGGCTTGGTGAAATAGGAGGTACTCTGAACGATACCGAATAAGTCGTCAATATTGGGCAAGTATGCCTTGTTTTTTTTTATTATGATCTTATAATCTTGTTTAAGTTCCTTCAATCACAAACCGACTGTAAAGAAGCGTCATCTCCATCAGTTTCTATTGTACTGGCCTGTGATTCCGCCAAGCGTGCCAAAGCTGCTGCCGCAAAACGTCGCGTGGAAATCGATGACCTGCGGTGTTCTGACGTGCGTAGGATGCTACATACATCAACAGTTTGCCAGCTTGAGCACCTTTCCGCCAAGGGTTGTGAGGGAACTACACCCACACTAGAAACCCACGGACACCACAACTCGCACAAGGAGTTCTAAAATAGACTATATTAAATATTTACATGGTTTACAGAGTGAAAGCAAAGATAAGCGCAAGACACAACTCCTTGCAAACTTCGTCAAGACACAACAAGAACACAAGAGCAAATCTGCATGCGTACAGAACGGCCTGGGTCCCGGAAGCATGTCGGGACACAGGAACACAAAGTGGATGCATGAGTGCATACACGGAACAGCATACACGTGCGCACGCACGTGACAATGATTACTAGGCAGCGCACATAAGGAATGCTTGCAGCACAAGGGTACAACGGGATACTCCATTTCACCCCTCCCCCTGGTGGCCACATCATGGACACCACAGCAATGAAGAGCAATAAAGGAAGAAAAAGAAATAGAAGGGAGAAGCAAAACACAAAACCCCTGCTCAGAACGCGCTGCAACAACAGCAAACTCAGGCAGCACCAGTGTCTCGGAAACGCACAGGAGGCTGTAAGGCAGATCGGTCACGCAGCGCTCGCTGAACAACCGGGACAGCATTCAGAGCAGCAGCATCAGGAATGAGCAAATTATCCCCAGGAGGAGCAGCATGATAGATAGGGACCTTTGGCAGCATTGGCAGCTGCGCATTGGGGACACTGCTGCACAAACTGCTGACAAGCCTCAGTAACACACGGGAAGTAACAGGTAGACCGGAGAAACTGGTAAGTAGTCTTCGAACTGCTGTGACCAGTGGACTCATGAGCAGAGCTGACGACCTGATCACACAAGGAAACAGGTACCACCGGAACACACTTGACATCGTTGGGCGTGAGCTTGACAGTACGGAACAAGATGCCGTCACAAGTCGTGAGCTGCGACTTCACCCTGGCGAATTCCGTAGCGGACACATCTCCACCAGCAGACAGTTCAGCAATAGTCACATGGATCACCGAGTCTAGCTGTTGTTGTGCCGCGATTTCTGGCAAGGGCACACAGCGAGATACTGCAGGAGCGGCAGCACTTACGGAAGGAGTCTTGGACTTCTGAACTGTCTTCCAGTACTGCACAAATGGGCTGGGAACACGGGTAAGACGGTCAGCGAGATTCTTAGCTGACGGCACCCATTGGACAGCCATGCTCATACCTGTGGCCTCCACCATGTCGTCTAAGATCTGCAGGCGGCGCTGAACCACGACCTCCTGCAATCCACCAACTTTGACGCGATGTGATGCCTCCAGCTTGCCAGAGAGCCAACCGTAGACAGTCTTGGAATCAGTGTACAGCGTTACACGTGACAAGTTCCACTTGGCTGCAAGAGAGAGACCGTTCACTGCAGCGTCCAGTTCTGCCACATTGATATGTCGGCGGTCGTCCTCCTTCCGGAGCCAAGCCTGATCCTCCACCACATGACCGTTCGCAGTCAGCACGCAGCCGTAAGCTATGTCGAATGCGTCACACCAGACAGACCAATCATTTCCAGCAGGGACAGACCACACACCGTGTACAGGGTCTTCCTGCAGGGCACGTTTGCGAGCGTCCTCGCAGAGACGTTGCAAGTCATCAGGCAACGGTTGATCCCACGGTGCTGCGGTAGCACATGCCAGGCGCTTCATCCACGAACACAGTGG